AAAAGTCAAAAATGGTCATAGTATAGCATGTCGAAAAAAGTCAAAAACAGTCACAGTATAGCATGTCGAAAAAAGTCAAAAACAGTCATAGTATAGCATGTCGAAAAAAGTCAAAATCGGTCATGGTACAGAATGTCAAAAAATAAGTCATAGTATAGCATGTCGAAAAAAGTCAAAAACGGTCATAGCATAGCATGTCAAAAAAACAGTCATAGTATAGCATGTCGAAAAAAGTCAAAATCGGTCATAGTATAGCATGTCGATGCCTAACCCTAACCCTAAATACCAGCATTGTCATTGTGTGCATGTATGCATTTAGGTCATAATGATTGTCAGAGGATCTGTGTGCAGCCTCTGCACACCTTCACACTAACATAATTCCATTTTCTCAGCGAAGCAGCTTCACTAATTGGAATGAGTCTTACCCAGTTTAATTGGCTCTGTCAGCAGCAGTCTTAGGAGGTAATTACATATGAGAGCGAGAAAGAGAGCTCATGATAAACTCTCACAAAACCTGCGCTCCAAAGGAAGAATAATGGGCTTCCTATCTTTTTTCAATTACAGAAACTGAATGCAGGCAGTAATAAAGAATTACTGCAGTCCAAATAGGTGTTTATTACAGGAAAGTCTGAAAAAGGCAATATGTTTTCAGAATTATTTTAATCGCATCTATATACAGAGAGTGTGTTGTCATGTGTATTATCTTTTTATAATAACAAATATATTAAGATGTATCTCAAAGAAAATGTGTGATCCAGGCAGTACTGTGCATTTCAAAACAGGATTACAATCTTCTGTGATGCCTCTTTTGAGGTCTTTTGATACATAGACTAATACTAGACACCTGACACTAATGATAAGGTGGTGCAAACACAGAACAGATTATTATTGATCACATTTTTACATATTGGTTTGCTAGTCATAAAAACTACTTCAGTTATTGTGGTGAAGAGTATGGCACTTATGTGTAAAAAGGTACTTTTCATTTTATGGTACGTCATACTACTTCTATATTTAATAAATCATTTTACTTTTTGTGAGCTATAGTTATTTAAAGATTTATGCAAAATATCTTATAAATCAGGGCTGCAACTAACAGTTTTTATATAATAATTATTCTGACAATCATTTTATTATCTTAATTAATTTGTTAATTGTTTGGTCAATTAAATATCTCAAAATTGTTAAAGTATCTATTCACAGAAATGTAAATCAGAGGAAAGCATCATCTCCTTTCATTGAACCAGATCATATTTGGCAGTTCTGCATCGAATATAAAAATATAGAATTATTCAGAAAGTATTCAGATCGTATCTTTAAGTAGATGTATAATACCATACAGTAAAAGCGTAAAGCAAAAACTTAAGATCAAACATTTGACTCAACTAGTTTTTATTATGGCACTTTGTACAGGTCACATTACAAACTCAACATTCTGGGTTCATACAGAACATGAAGAGATCCATATTTAAAATGCATGTTTAAAAGGGATTTGGAAGCCACGTCATTTTAACCACACACACAACAAAATGTTAGTGTAGAAGTGGTAATTTATCCAAACTTAAAAATTTGAACTTAATTTTGTTTAAGTCTATCTTAATATGATACTAGAATGTCAATATTGGTCTCTGTAATAATTTCTCATGTGTGTGAAAAGACTATAAGACATTCAGTTTACCAACAGAAGAAATCTTTGCAATTGAAAAGCTGTAACCAGGGAATGTTTTTTTGCTTGATAAATAAATACAAATTTTACTCAATCACAACATATTAGCTGATAGTTGACGACTTATTTTCTCTAATTTTCTTTCAATTCTAATTTGAAATCGGTGGATATTACGTCTCCCACCTCCACATCGTTTCTGACAATAAAGCAAAACCCTGATTATCAAAGAAAATATCTCGTACCCGCCTCTTTTTCTGTAGTCAAAAATATGGATATGTGCAAGGAAACTGTACGAAACCCATTCCTGTACATAAAGGAGCATCTCAGGTTGTTGTATTTGGACATACACTGAAACATCCATCCACACATACTTTGTGCACGGCATTATTCTACATACAAACAGATGTGGGTTCCCAAGGATCGAAGGTAAACAGGTTGCATCGAAGTGCTACGAGATCTTTCGTTGGCACATGAGGAGTTAACATTTACAATATTTACATCTGAGATTAAATGATCAGTTTTCATGCGTTTCCTAAAAACAGTTTTGTAGAAAATAAAATTCTCACATTCCATTTGGATATCGTTTAGTTTCTGTCCGTATGTGGAAATTAGATTTTGCAAAAACAGTTTCAAATGGCATTCACTTAACTTTATATATCAATTTCTCCTGTTCAGCTGAATGTATGATTCGTTCTAAAATTGAACTGGATGCATGAGCAGTACGAATTAACAGGAAGCATTCTGATATTGGATTTGAGTTGAATAAAACTGTAAACCTAAAAAAAAGAAAATGGTACTAAAAGGTACTCCAACAAGAGTCGCAATAAAGCTGACTGACAGCAACCCTCTGAGTGGGATCACAAACCTTCCACACTCATTAACGATGCAGCTTGAAAGAGTGATAGTGTGAGAAATAAAACACTTCTTTCACTACAAACTTTCATCTGTCCCTTGTTTTTTAAGTCAATAAATAAATTAAACCAAACCTGAATAAATATGACTTGAAGCATCAGTAAGACTAATTTCTGGGCTCCAGACAATGAGGTATTCCTCTGACACCATCCTCTCCCATTGATGACTTAGTTCATGGCTGTCTTACCAGCTCTGGAGGAGAAGGGGGGGGGGGGGGGGGGCCGGGGGGGGGGGGGGGGGGGGGGGGGGGGGGGTCTTGTGGGGAGGGGGGGGGGGGGGGGGGTAAGTTTAGGTCCGCACCCAGCTGAGAGGTACCCAGAAGGATTCTCGCTCCAGCCTTTCCAAGATACCTCGAAGTTCTGCACAGGCACTGACTGAGTCCTCCTTGATCAGGATCCGGTCTACCAGGTGTCCATACTGTTGATCAATCTGAGCCGCGGACTGACGCATCTCTTGGAGATCTTCGTCCTGTTGCAGAAAGCAAAATGATTTACAGAGAGCAAGACACATGGCACACAGGCAGAAGACCAGTTCATTTTACAAAAGCAGTTCAGTGGTGGACGAAGTATTCAGATCCTTTACTTAAGTAAAAGTTCTAATAACACATGGTGAACATACTATTCAGATAAGCAATCAGAGAGGTATGAAGGCGCTAAACCATTTAAAGCTAATGTTATTTTTACCAATCTTTGTTGAGCTTTGTTGTTGACCTTGTTTTCAGCCTTATGCCAACTTGACAGAAAGTGTAGGACTCACTGTAATGCGGCCATGCTCTCCCCCTCCTGGTGAAGTTGCAGCACTGCGGCGACGTCTGCTCTCAGGAACACGAGGTTTGACAAATATTACATAGGGCTTGAACTCTGCTGTCCGCAGCCTCCTCAGGGCCTGGAGTGATGGTGGATTTGCATACAATAGAGCAAACAGAGGTCACAAATCAGACAGGATCGGAGAGGCTCAGCAGTGATACATCAGACACTCCACACAGTGAGCAGATCTGATGCGACTGCCTGCCCTCATCTACACTCAGCAAACTGCTGCGGGGTCTGTATCACGTAACATGATACGATTGTGTGATACATTTTGATTATCGTCGTAAATTGAGATGTGCTCAGCGGTTGTAACATGACGCCTACCTCAGGCTGCACATCCACAACACACATCTTATTCTTGGCCTGTACAGAGCGGATTGCCTCTATACTTGTGCCATATTGGTTTTCCTTGTATTCCCCGTGTTCTATGAACCTGTGGAGAAACAACAAAACATTCACATCAGCATGGTACAAATCACACATGTTTACACAAAAGCAACACAGTGTCAGTGTGAACATACTTGTTGTTTAAAGCATCTGCATCAAATTGCTGTTTGGTAACAAAGTGGTACTCCACACCTTCCTTCTCATGAGGCTTCTTGGGCCTGGTGGTATCTGTGGAAACACAAAGGAGGACTTTACATAATGTACAGTGTAATGTGGTTCATTGATAGGTACAGTGTGTACGACTTGTGACTCACGTGGTACAGCCACTGCGAAACGATGTGGGTTTTCAGCAATCACACGCTGTTTGAGTTCATTGATCCGTGCTCCAAGAGATCCTTCGCAGGATCGTGTGTTTAAGAGAGGAAAAGAATTAACTTCACATGCATCATCCTGGGTCATCGGTAGATTGTAACACATGCTTCGATCCACAAGGTGTCACTTTCATCACAGAGAACATTTATGCCATTCAGTGGCTCAGTCTCACCGATCAGAACCACCAGACGGGGCCTTTCATTGGGCCTCTGCTGATAGCGGGTCACCTCTTCATAAGTCATGTAATCGTTGTCCCTGGGATCAGAACCCTCTCCGGAGGACCCTTGTCTGTCTTTGCGACTCAGCCGGAAACTCCTCCGTAGACCAGCTACAGCGAGGCCAGAGAAAGGAGGAGCAGAAAGAAAAAGATGTTCGTGAGACGACATGAGCTATAAAATTATTATCTCAATATTAAATAACATGAGAACACTATTTCACTTCCATGATGCAGATACAATCGTTTTGCACTGATTAGATAGCTACAGTGAGCAAATGCAAAGGAATGTTTTCGAGTCAAGACCAACCATTGATTAACCAATACCAACCATGCATTAAAAACCTTTGTAAACAGTGCACAGTGATTAAAATAGCTCACTCTTATCTGACGTGTAAATATTTGATAGTGTGAGATATTATCTGAACTTTGAGCCAATTAGATGTCATGCTTCAACTAAAAATAGGAATACATGCAGCTGATAACAAAGACATCAGGTAAAGCAGTCTGTTTTAAGCAAACCATTCCTTAGGTTTATTTTTTTTAAAGTGATTAAAACAGATATCAAAGATCCAAAATAAACAATTTTCCAACAATATGGTCCAAACAAGGCATGCTGCTCTGAAAGTGCTGAGGCAGGACAGACAGGACAGCCTGGCCCTGAGAAACACCACATCAGCAGAGAGTGACAGCAAATCAGGGTCTCCCATGGCCAGGACTGTCTGTATCCCCCGTCAGTGGTGTGTACCCGAGGGAATGAGCTGGGCACTGTACCTGAATAAAATTCCCAGGAAAACACCTGGCCACAGGAGGGCGCCACTGCTTTACACTTAGGAGAGACTATAACTGGCGTTAGAGCATCACACAACCCAGCCTCACACCTCCACACAGGGTGAACGAGCAGCAAACGTGCCTGGTTGAGTGTGCAATGCGTCCAACGCAGCAGGGCCCTCATGAAGGGGGGGGTGTTTTGGGGTTGGAAAGGGGAAGCAGTGCACTGGCCACAGCACAGCAGCAGGGGCAGTTAGTTAGATGCAGGGCAGAAGGGAGAGAAGAGAGGTTTACGAGGATCCAAACACTGCAAGGTGGAGGGGGAGGGGGGCGGGTGAAGGGATGGAGGGGAGGGTTTTACAGCTCCAAGCAGAGTGCATGATAGAAAGCACAAATACTGTTTTAACAAGGTATTTTGTGTTACAGGAAGAAGGTGCTGATAATCTCTCAGCTGTGTTTAGATCGCTCCTTGTGCTCATCATCATTCCAGCAGCTCACAGGATGTGGGGGGAGTAAATGGGGGTCAGGTTGGGCTGAAGAAGGGCGAGGGAGGGGAGGCCAGTGGAAGGGGTTGAGAATAAAGGCGACTAATGTATTCCCTCCACTCTGATTTGAATTTAAAGCATGTTATGGCAAGAGAAAATTGGGATACGATGCAATAAGTAACCTCATTTCCCATACCTTCCTAATAATTTACAATAAAGTTTCCTGGAATAACTATTATTTGGTACTAAATTAGGAATTATCTTGAAAGAACAGCTCTACTTCAACATAAGTGAATTTTCATGTATTTATATTCACGCTGTGCACTTACTAAAATACTCCATGCGCTCGCAATTATTTGGAATTTATTGTGTTAAGTGTACAAATGAAGTGGACCAGTTGAACACCGTCTTTCTTTACCCTATAAGTACCAGAAGACAGTTCTTTTCAGGAAACTGAGAAATAATTCGAAAAATTATAAACCAGCAAAAATTCTGCACTTTGCTTTGCTTTTAATGCAGTACATTCTGCGTTTGTTTTGCTTTTATACTGTGATATCTGACATGGTTACCTCTTATTACTGTATGCAGTGGAGTCCCCGAAGAGGGAGATCTGTTACTGGCACCTTCAGAAGTGTGAGTCGATAATTCCTACACATATTCTTCGACAATATTTCCTTTCACGTTGGAAACAAACACTTGTAATGTTTTTTTCTACTCCTGCATACGTCTCCCCTCATCCATCTTCCTCCTCTGGCATCTGTCTCTGGACCCATCGCCCATGGAAACCTTCACCCCCTCCTTTTATCCCTCAACCCCCGGCCCCAGACAAGTCAACCCTACACAAGCAGTCCTTTTGACCCCCAAGCCCAGAAGCATCCAGGGAACCAGCACACAGCCAGGCTGCAGCAGGCAAAGTGCAGATAGGGAGAAGGAGGTGGAGAAAGATGTACACGCTCTCACCTATGTACTGTCCATTGAAATAGCCCTCACAGTCACAGTCCTCTGTAGGGAGGCAAGCAGGAAAAAGAGGGGGTAAGCACAGGGTAAGAGACCTGGAAGAGTTAAGGAGTAAGGGGAGGTGGAAGAGTTATAGAGGGGGGGGGGGGCGGGCCGTGGGGCGTAGGAGAGGGCAGGCAGGGCAGACAGGCAGCAGGCAGGCAGGCAGACAGCAGGAGGCGAGAGCGGACGGGCAGCCAAGAGATATCGAAGGAACGCTGTTGGAGGCAACAGCCACTAACGAAGGCTTGATACAGAGAGGAGAGGAGAGGAGAAAGATGGCTCTCCTTCATCTGGAAAGGAGCCAGCTATGAGCAGAGTCTCTGTGACCCACACACACACACACACACACACACACACACACACACACACACACACACACACACACACACACACACACACTTGTACGTACACAAGCCTCTCCTCCCCAAAGATTCACAGCTGAGGTACAAACTGTCTCACAAACTCTTTGAAATCCGCAATTATGTTCTTTCATCAAATCTAACAGATTTTTAGAAAATTTGAATAGGAATAGAAAAAAACAGGACAAAACAACATTGCAAACAGCAGCTGAAAAAGAGGACACAGAACAAAAGATAATGGAGCCTGAGGATGACGCAAAACAAAAGAGGAGCTATTGTTATCTTCAACAAGCTCTGCTTGGTTGGGCTGAAGTCTCCAGGGATGCTGCTCTGCCTGCACATCACCTGGTACAAACACACACACACACAAGCTAGGCAAAGAATCTCTATTCTAGTCTGGTGCACTAACAGCAGGAGGGGAGGAATTATGCTGGAAGCAGCAGAAAATCCCCCCACCCCCTTCTACACACACACACACACACACACACACACACACACATTGAGGCTTTGAGGCCTCTATGAACATTTTCCATTGTGTGCTGTGTGTGAGGATGTGACTGCCTTCTCTATATATCATGTTTGTTTCTGCACACGTACCCACCTTTATCACATCCTTGGTCATCTGATACAGTTTGCAACAAGGAGAAACGGAGGAGAGCGTAAAACGTTAGAGTCGGTAAACCTAAGGGTCATTTCGGTGTGTAGATGGGCAGATAAAAAGAATGATATTTGGAAATTTATGAAATGAGGATTTAACATTTGAAGAGGTCTATTGCCGTCGTCAATGACGTCACAGACAAAGAGGGCCCCTGCTGGGATTTAGGGGAATTAATCAGAGGGTTGGAGGAGCGCGGAGAGAGGCCGAGACAGAAGAGTCCCCGCAGGCCTGCTGCTGCGTGGCGTACTGTGACGGGGCTAGCTGCCACACTGCTAAGCTCTTGTTGTCTCCCAGTGGCTCAGGCCTAATCGGATCACCTGCAGCTTACGCGCCACGAAGAGCCACCACTCACATTACCCACTCACCTGGCCGTTTACACGCGGCGTCTATGGTATCGAGTGAGAAAGTGAGACGTGTATTGTGTTGTTGAGGCTTTGTTTCTCAGTGGGTGCAGCTTGTAACGCTTTCTGGATGTACTTAAGCTGCTCACTGGCCAGATGGACCAAACATGAAGGAGATTAATTCATAACTGATCTCTCCCTCCGTCTCTGTGCCCCTCCATCTCACTCTCTCTCTCTCTCTCTCATCCCTTTTAAAAACATGCCCATATAGCTGCATGGAGAGGACAGACCTATTGCCTCTGAAAATGCCAATTACCAGCACAAAAGGTCAATAAATGTCAATGAAAACATTGCTGCATTTATCCAGCGGAGATATCATTGTCCTATAATGACAGTGTCCGAGTACATCAGTAGTGAAAGAGGAGTTGATACTGAGAGATGCTGCAGGTAGTAAAAACTGTGATTATGAAATAATGCTGAAGATGCAGTGGAATCCTGGGAAGCAGAAACTTACAGACGGGCTTTTTAGGGGATTTTGGATTCGGAAGTGTGCCCATTTTCATCCTGTAGGCCAGTCGCCTGGAGAAATGCGCAGCAAACAAAGAGCCAGAGAGGATGGAGGCAGGAGGAGAATCATCAGGTCAGAAATACACAGTAAGCAAAAGGTGAGGAGGGAATGTCAAGAGAGGTGGAACAGAAGATTTAAACATGATAGAGAGAGGGACATAAAACACTTATAGACAGATTATGAGACAACGGGCCCCTGGGAACAAACTGGGCCGCCACAGCTTCTACATAAGAAGAAGACACCCAAACAGAGAGCCACAAAACAACTACAAACAGCGCGGCCTCCTTGTGGTTGCTTTAAGTCTCTTTGTCTTATTTCTGTGCCTCTTTGTGGTTGGTTTATGTCTCAACATCTTTATGTGGTCTCTGTGGGGTTGCGTCTCATTGTTGTTGTCTCGATCGATCTCTTCGAGGTATTTTTATCTCTCTTTGTGGTTGTTTAAGGTCTCTTCGTCTTCCTTTGTGTCTGTGGTATTTTGTGTTTCTCTGGTGTCATCTCGATCTATTTGTGATCTTTTTACGTCTCTTCATGGTCATTTTGAGGTAGTTTTGCATCTCTCTGTAGTGGTTTTATGTCTCTCTTTATAGCCGGTTGATTGACTTTATAAAAATAAATATATATACGGTGACTTCAAGCTCGGTGCACGGTAGGCCCTTTCCGTAATCCACAGCACATTGTGAGCAAGCAGACGTGAGCTTATGCTACCTTTCATAGCGATGCATTTAAAGAGTTGTTTTTCATTCATCATTGTTTTAACCCACAGTGCAGCAGGAACCCACAGCATCAGCAGAAATTAAGTGTTATATCATCCTGAACATTTGTTTAACCTACAAAACGCATCACATAGGCTTTCCAGAGCTCAGATACCCCTCTGCCATGCGTCTTTCTCTGTGTTTAAGCTGTGGTTATTAATCCAACAGACGCTGCAGTGTTTGGCAGGGATCTCCCGGCCAGCTGAGATCATCCTACTGACGGATTATGACACCAACAGTATCAGCATGTGCCTATTCAAGGCTGTGTTTCGATTTATTTATTTTCCACGCTGCTTTGATGCTCCATCTAATCAAAGTTGACCCTTCAAAGTGGAACACACAAATGTGGATTTGACAGATTACAAATAGCTGGATAACATAAATACGGGTGAACAGTACAGTGCTGGCACTGATCAGGTTACACCACAGGTTTTGCAGATACATGATGTGACACCCGTCTCCCCCCTGGGTACTTTTACCTCTCCTGGAACAGTTTGGATGGGATGAGTCCGGCCCGCAGGTTGCTGTCTCCCACACGCTTGGCCTGCCACCACGTGTGGTCGTCTTGGGTCACGACCTGCAGGATGTCTCCCCGCTTGAAAGGAAGTCCCGCTTCTTGGCAAGGTGTCGCCTTGTCTTCCAACGGGATGTAGTCAAACAAGGCTCTCATGTACACCTGGAATCAAAAACAAGAACTACATATTTAGATTTCTATCATTGTAAATAAACATGGACAAAACTTTTTAACAGTGTTTTAATCAGTGTTTTACGTCATTTAAGGAATGATTCATCTGGAATACCTCAGTCTCTCACTCTTCATCTCACCTTGCTGTCCTTCAGTCGGTCCTCTTCTTTAATGGCAGGGATTATCTTTAGAGTGATGGAGCCCTGGGATTGGGACTAGATCACAAATAGACAGAGGAAGTAGGGGAGAGAGGAGTGTGACTGCAGCCTCAAATTAAAGACAAACACTCACTTCTCTTCACTCAAAAGGCTCCCTGAGGTAGATTTTATCTATCAGTGCACCCTGTTTATAAATAAATAAAAGATGGACAGAACATTTTAGCTGATGAATCACCTCTACCGTGATCCCGATAGACTTTAGATCCTAAAGAGTTTGTAGTTTACCCACCACTACATTTAGCACTGCTTCTGTCTGGGGCAAATACAGGGAACCCTGAATGTAATAAGCAAAACATGGCCGGAGCCTTTTCTCTCTGTTCTACTAAAGGAAAAAATGCAAATCAACACATTTCATTCGGCTCAGTTCAAAATACTGGATCATAGCAAATAGTATAGAACCGGTGTATTAAGTTATGGTTCTTTAAAGAGATTTTTTGTTGGGTGCGAAAAGTGATTTTCTGAATATGTCATTGACCATTTATTTATGTTTGGATGCCTCATGGGGATCAGTGACTTGAGATTCTATTTGCTATTGCAATACATCTAAAAAAGCAGTAGCACGTTTCTACATGCTGATCTAAAGTATTTAAGAAAACACTTTGACTTCCAGCCTCACAGATCCTGTGACTGTGGCAGATACATCGGTGGGTTCAGAGTCTTTGTAGACATTAATGGTGATGGCATAACATTCACCGGAACTATCCGAAAACAAACAATTTGGATTAAAAAAGTCATACTTCAACGGTTTGGTATAAAACAGTTTTTTTTTTCAAAAATTGGGAATCATTGCAACCATAAATGTAAGGCTGATGTGTCCAGCAGCATATGAGATTAGCCGCGGACAGACAGACAGATACACACACGGACGTATGCATGATCTCCCCACATGCTCATGTCAGATAATTAAAAATATTGATTTATTTTGAGTATACAAATTGCTTAAAAGTGCAAATGATAGAATAAATTGAAAAAAAACCATTTCATGATATCACTACAAAAAAGAAAAATATATATACATTCATAATACCGTCGACAACTTGAGCACAAATCTGAGAAAATGGGATCATTCAACTGAAAATCCTGATAATTCAGGAAATACATTTTTGTACCCAGTCTTACATTTTTTTATGTAGTATAAAATGAGTATTTCTACGTTGTAAATGTATACCAGTATTTCTCTAAACATACAGCAGCACTGTCTGTCTGTCTGTCTTACCAGCAGCTGACTGATCTCATCAGGCCTCTTCTGGATCACAGAGACTCCATTGACCTCCCTGAGTTCATCTCCTACATGGACCAATCCTGTGAGGACGAGTGGGCAAAAACATCACTGACAATCAAAGCGACTACACTGGGTCTTTGGGGTATTTGATTCACATCTTAACATCAGTATTGTTGTCAGATCTACAGACACGAGTCGCGTCCATCATCAACTGTGATCTCATTAGCTGCAGCCACAACAATGAAATAAAAGGCTGAGAGCAATACGACCAATACATTCCCCTCAGGACAGAGAAGCACATATAGCAGACTCATACTAACATAACGTATGCATTCACAAAGAGACCTGAGGCCGATTCTGAAATCTCTCTACAGATTCTCTCTATACACTGAAGAGGACTTTTTCCATCACTTGATGCAACAAGAAAAGCAGCATGACATTAATAATTAACGGATACAAACACTGATTGGTTTACTTTCCCAGCATGCATGTTTCCTGTGTCGACACACGCACACACACACACACACACACACACATACACCTGCATGTGGCTGATATTTCCATGGTAACGCCCATGAAAGGATCTTTGCTGAGTATCTATCATGTGATTGATTCTCTGGGGACTTGTGGAGAGCTTTAGTTTCCGCAAAACAACCGCACTATCCCTCTCATTTTCCTCCTCCTGCTGCTGCATCTCTATCATTGTGGCTTTGATCTCACTCACCACAGTATCAGATTTGATTTGTTGTTCCTTACATATATGCATATTTGAATATTCTGTTTGTGAAACACCAATTTTCACTGGTTGCAAGAAGACAAATGCCATCAAAGTGCAGTAAACATCAGGAGCCTCCTGAGGCGTCCTGTAGCTCAGCTTCCTGAGGGCTGCTGTGCTACATTACTGCAAAGTCCTGGCTGTCTTCCATGCAGGAAACTTTTTTTCATGTCATCCCTGAGTCTTTTCTATTTCATTAACTATTCAGCAATGGCAAAAATGTCCAGAAAGAAATTGGACTCATGACCTCATTATTTATAAAAAATGGATGGCTACAGCCCTGAACGGCAGCAGTTCTATCACATTATTTTCTGGTCAGATTCTTACTTTCATTTCACTACCCTTCATCAGTGTACCACCCCAAGGTTGGGAACTGCAGATACTTGCAGTCTAGTAGTCTGACACGGCTTGTAGAAAGCCCAAAGTGACAAAAGAAGAAGAAGAAGCACAATTTACCGCTTCGGTCAGCTGCACCTCCTCTCATGATTCGAGCCACGATCACCATCCCAGTGGCTTCATCCCGCCTGATGGTGGCTCCCTGGAGTACAGACAATTAATACAAGATCATTAATGGAAAAGAGCAAAAGGTCTCAGTCCCATAATCTCTTCCTCTTTCATCCAGTTCTCCTGAAGGCTCTTATGTTCTTCCACTCTCATCCTTCACAACTCACCAGAGGCTCCTTGTTCTTCACTAGCCTGACAATCTTTACCGACTCTTCCTCCAGCTCATCCTCGAAGTCATCTGGCAGCGGCGGCAGCACGGGATCAAAGTTCTTCTGTGCCACGGTGTCGTGCACCGAGAGAACGGCCTGATGGGACAGAGAACAGATGTGCTGAAAATTCAGTACTGATGTTGAGCCGACAGTCTACGACCTTGAGAGATGAATTTCAGCGCAAATAAAATGTCTGACAGGAAAATTGGCCAAATGGATATACACTAGTGCTTCATCTCCTCATGATTATACTATAGTAAGACCAAAAAATCCAAAACAAAAGTCTAAGGGTTTTTACCTTGAGATGTGGTGACGTCAGCAGGAGCAGCAGCTCTTTTTCTTCGGTGCTCATTGGTCCGCTCTGCAGCTCCTCTGCCACCTGCCAGTCACAAAACACGCATGAGCCCTGGCCTAGTACCAACTAATGCACGTGTATACCAGTAATGCAGGCTGCATTTTACTGGAGAATAAATGCACACGGATACACAACAGACATGCACACAGAGGAAGATAAGTAGCTAAGGTCAGCAGTTTCCCCGCTGATAACTGGTGAGCAGCAGGATATGGAGTTTCATTAGAAGAGCATCGGGATGATTCAGCACTTTGAGAACATTAAAATTCACTTTTGATACCTGCATTGCTTCTCTGTCGGAGCTAACTCAATGTTATTGACTGCTGTGCCCAAGTGGAAAAGTAATTTAGGGTGTGTGTGGGTGTGTGTGTGTGTGTGTGTGTGTGTGTGTGTCTGTGAGGTGAACTTACATCCTCTGCCAGAGAAGAGGCACTGTGGAGGACGGGTGTTGGACTCTGTCTCTCATACTGTCTCAACTTCTCGTGAATCTGTAACACAAGCACGTGTGGTTAATTAGAGAAGAGGGAATGGACAGGACAAGCTGAAGGTTAGAGAGGCCTCCTGGAGTCTTCTTTTAAACAAACAAAAGTGATGCTGACATTCAGTGTTACTCATCAAAATGCATTGTGTTGAATCCCTGAGGTCTAACACATCCTGCATTGTCTACATCCATGTTTACTAGCTAAGCAGTCTTCATCCCCATAGCACTGCTACGTGTCTTGGTGCCTTAACACCATCTACAGATCAGTGGAATATATAAATCCACTGGCAGGAATGTGTGTGAATGTGCGTCTTCATGCAAGAGACAAACAAAACAGGGACCAGCTCATAAAAAACTACTATCTGAAATTATACCATAGGCACGTTTAAAAACTACTGTTTTTTCAGCATTGAAAAAAAGAGTGCATGTCTCCATTAAAACTGCACAATGCTTGAAATGTATTACTGTGAAGATTTTCTTTCTTTAAAAGAATAATTTGGATCCACTAAACTTTTTTTCTTTTGGAGCACATTCAGTGGTACATTGCTCCACATGTAAATAACTTGTAGAATCAGACTTAGATGGATTATGATCCATTCCTCACCTTCATGAGATATCCCAAACTCCGCTCACTGAAGACGTCTTTCAGGAAGACCATGTCCTCTTTGTGATTGGCATCGGGCCGCAGCTGAGAGGTCAGCAGGGCCAACGTTTCATGTAGCCCTGTAGAGGAGAGAGGTAGAAGAAAAACCAGCGTGCATATGAACGTGAACAGATGGAGCACAGCGAGCTTCAAGCAGTATGGGACACTATGTGTTGAGCATCTGTGCCAACTCATCTCACCCGCTCCTGCTGTGAGGACCGGCATGGCTTCTTTCATGGGTCAGTGAGGTGAGGAGGGGAGGAAACCTGGAAGGGGGGGTATTGTAATTATAATCAGCATTCCATACAGATCCTTTCAGTTTCTGAGAGGATATTCTCACAAATAGCAAAATAATAAAAAGGTAATGGTGTTATTTATAGCCATATATCATCCCCATGTAGGCTTCATGTTGTAAATCCAAGCCGCATTTCTCCCATTTTGCAGCGCAGTTACCTCGTCTGTGAACATGTAGGTGTGTATGTGCAAGTCGGCTGGCATTATAGTACTATTAATCACGCTGAGTCTCACCAGGCCCTGTGTGTTTGTGTTGGTGTGTAACGGGATCATCTGGCACAAACAGTATTCTATACAATATGGTTGCCTACTCGGAAAATGATTTTAGCTCTCCATAAAAGGACTAAATTAATTTTCGTTGCAGTACATACTGTACAATAACTTTCTTTATATATCTATATTCATAAGCTGACAGATCTACACCGCTACAGTCGGCTGAAGTACCGCACAGACTGCTGGATTATTGCAGTCCCTACAGATCAATATCCTCGTCACTCCACTCAATATTCTCCATACTTCCTGCCACTAGAAACACAAGTCAATAACACAAACCGCAGACTCCAACATATCACACTATGATCCGATAACAAAACAACCGGAAAATGCAGTAAAACCAAAACCACACAACAAAGCTGCAATAAAGAGTATTAGCTTGTTTGAATGAGTTGTGTTGAACATCAACGATAAACAGTATGGGTTACAAAAATGTGGACGCAAGGTTGTGAAAATATTGACAGAAATTGTATTTTATTCAGACTGTTTAGAAAAGAAGCTTAACCTGTCTGACAGTAGTGTGCGTGTCTGCTTTGTATGTGTAAAATAAACATTGCTGTTCGTGTTACCGTGTCCGTCACCTTACGGACGCCTGTCAAGATGAGGCATCTTGTCTTGGTGTGTTACCTTGAGACTGTTGAGCTTATATCAATAATCATTTTTACAAATCTGTGAATTTTCAGTGTTTAGTGATCGCTCTTTGAGCAGTTATTGCAGGAACATATCAAATCAATCTAGAAACACTGACTGATTGACACAGAAAGAAACACTAAAGCTAACAACCAACAAGACTGGAGAAACAGGTTTATATCAGAGGGGTAAAAGCAGCTTGCAGACAGCAACATGAAGGAAGTAAGTTCCAAAATAAGACCAAAAAGCTATAAGGCAAGCAGATGGCCAGGACAGGAACAAGGCTGGAAACAACATATCTAGTTCATTGTGAGGCTAATGTGAAGCAGCTGTGCAGGCAGATGATTTGGTCAGGTGGTGTGCAGACTCTGCAGTGGCAGGTAGAGGACGGATGAGGAATAGCAGGTCTGGGATTAGAAATGCAGACAAACTAAACACTCAGGGGAACAGGAGTTAGGAGAGGAAGACAATGCTGATGAAGATTGAGTATCCCAAACAGTCCATCAAGATACGTGACTGGAACTGGGGTGGGAATCTTCCCAGTGGGATGAGTGGGAGGAGTTCCTATACATTGCAACGTCAAGGCAAACAGTCGCGCTTCTGTATTTCTATGAGCTTGTTCATGAAAAACACAGTACAGCACCGTACATTGTATTTTAATGTTTCTATATTGCAAGATTGAAATTTTCTCCTTCCTCCTAAAGCATTTCTGAAATGTATCCTTGTGCTTGGATGGTAAATATTCAGAATATGATTAAGCGCACCACAGACAGCCGGAGACAGCAATGAGTTCATGAATAATGAACAGAGAGGATATTAGAGAGCCAGATAGAGGGATGAGGAAAAGATGAGGAGGGAGGCAGCGCTTATTTTATTCTTTGTTCTGTCAGGAGAATCAGTGGGAACGACACACAAGAGAGGCTCTTTATTCTCAAGTGTGTCAGATGGGATTTTCTCCATAACGTCACTATTTTTAACTCAGAGGAGGAAAGAAACATCATCATCAATATACTGTAGTTTCACTGGTAAAGTGCTTCACTCATATCAATATTCACTTTTCACTGATTTGTGTCACCCACGACCATCTTCAGCAACAAAAACTTTAATAGTTCCTCATTTTGTTTTTAAACTTTCCTCATTTATTATACTATTACTATAAGACGACTAAGTCCAACTGAAATCATATTAGTCGTCCTTATTTATAGTAAAAAATAATGTCAACGTGTTTCTAAAAGTATTGTTAATATTTGTTTATTATTAATAAAAGGAAGTAAACTGCAAATAAATCTCCATAATCGGTGTCAAATTAATCCAGTAATAGTCTGTACATCCAAACGTACATTGCAACCAGGAAAAGCTAATAGCCAATACAGCACACTTTAAATGGGGCCAAAATGTCAACAAATTTAGGCTCATAAAAACAACAATGTTGTAGCCCACGGCATAACTTACTTACATAACTTACTTAATTTACTCTAATCTATAGTTAGGTCCTCAAATAACTAATAAACTCTTGGACTATAAAGGGATAAGACATCTTGATGCCTGGCTCTGAAAAGGACCGTGAGGAATGAGCAGAGCCTGACCCTGTGATGACTTAAGAGGACAACCCTCTCTGACATAAACACGTCCCAAAATCAAGGCTTGTAACATGACTAGAGAATCTCCATTTCTAATATCTTTATTGTCACCATTCTTTGCATCATCAGCTTCTTTTCTACTTCCACCAATAACAAAACAATCAAAAGCTTGTGGTTCATTACACCTGCAGCAGCTGAGTGAGTTAAGAGTCGTGGGAGAATGACATCATCCTCTAACCTGGTGAGGTCTTCAGAGAACGGCATTGTGGGAGCACCTCTAAGTGGCACCCATGGGGGGGGTGTCGTTCCCACTGATTCTCCTGACAATCAATGGATTGAGGTGGTCGTGAGTTTGACTCATTGAGGAACAAAAGTAAACTTAATTTATGTTTAAAGTTTTCAAATTAAAAAAATCTGCATTGATTTTCCAAAGTTGCAATTTGATGAATATATAATAATAATAATAATATAATTTTCTGTCTGTATAAAACCTCTCGTAGCAGCCTTTGCACCAAACACTGATTACATAGTGACCATTGTGCTCTCAGCCACTACCTGGACTATAAACGAACAGTTACGTAACATTACGAAACATTTCGGGAGTCAGTCATGAGACAGGAGTAGATCGCACAAACAATGCCAAAGCAAAATTAAAATCGGACGGTATAACACAGCTAATGGCATAAGATAGTTTTCTTCATTTTGGGTTCTCCAGTTGTCCGTTCCCATAAAATTCAGCACTGAAAAGACGGTTTGTGAGTAATCAGAAATGCAAATTTGTGCGCCAAAGTTCACCAAAGTTGAAATATACGTAAAGGCTCCAGATAGATTCACAAGCAAATGCATTCACTGCTGTAACTCTGTTGAAATGAAAAGCATTGATATTACACATCAAAGTCTGTCTACAGGTCTTGGGGAGTACTACTGCATATGTAACATATAGATACAAAGCCTTTTGTGGCTGATAAATATTGGTTTAAAAATATAATAAATCTGGAGATGTGGAGTTCTGTACCTCTGTATCTCGCTAACATCCGAATCTCTGACAAATTTTTCACCGGCAGAGTTGAATTATGGGTCATGTAGTTTCCAGGTTTTAACAATGAAGAAAAGAAAAGACAACACCTCTGATTCTGCTGTGATGACTTTGATCCTTTGTTTTAAACTGTCCATCAAGAGTCCAATAATGTTACAGGGGTGCAATGCTAAATCTGTACAGATTATAAATGCTGGTGTGTCCATGCCCTTGGTCCTGGTTGCTAAGTATGTTTATAGATTTAAAATGTAGGTAATAAGAGTTAATTATGCATACTCTGGAAAACATTAAGAGTGTTAACATGATTAATGAAGACATATTAGAAGTATTCCATTTGTACTCCACTACATACTCCATGACATGAGTAAATACTAATCCCACTGAGAATCAACACCAGCACGAGCTCAGTAGAGCACAGTTTGGTCTGCTTGACTACCGACAGCTCTCTCTCTCTCACTGCCCCTTTAAAACTACGAACAGATGCCCCTGGCTCACACAGGCCTTCAGAAAGCACCATCTCACATCACTGCAAAAACCCGGCTACAAACACCAAAACGTCACTGATCCCAAAAATAGACTCAAACATGCTTTTTGCAAAAAAAAAAAATATGACATTTTCAGTTCAAATCTAGTTAAGAGCTTAGCTGCAGATCACACAAACATGATGGAGCCCCGGTGAGGTCAGAAGAAGTCAGCTGATCAGATAACAGCCTTCGTCATAAAACCTTCATCTCGACACATTTAGCTCAAATGCAGACGGATCAGCAGTTACTACCACTGCCACTGCATTATCGACGTTATCCTGTGTTAAATAAGATATTTGTAAACCACTGAATGTTATTCTTTGTGTTGGTCATCCACATGTGATTGTCTCATTCATACACAGAGAAGTAGTTTGGAATCACAGCATTCAACGAACATGAACACACAACCAACAGACACCTCCCCCCTCCCCCTTGTTCCTATTCACAGTTTCATCTTTATATTTGTCACACAAGCTTTTTTTCTCCTGCTTTTCAGTCGAGAGCCCTGGAGGTGGTTTGACGTCAGCAGGTTCAGCGGGGCATAAGTCGGCCCTCACAGCGATGAACACGCTGCCAAGAGTTTCATCAGGTCTCTTAAGGTCTCTTTGATGCCTCATCCAGTAAAACCTGAACCGCAAGAGCTTCTGAAGATACTACAGAGCAGCCACTGCTATACACTGACACTGAGCAAGTGTGTGGGGTTTCCTCTTTCCTTAAAGAATTGTGTTGGCTCTAGGATGGCAACTGATCATTCTTCTAATCATTCATTTGTGCAAATAAAAATATGAATCTAATGTGCAAAATAATGTCAGAAAATCATGGAAAATGTCCAACTTTAAAGATAAAATATATATGATACAAAAACAGACAAAATAGCAAATCTGAAACCAGAGATTATCTTTACTTGACAAAGAACTTAAAGGGAGGGGGTCTGGATGGATAAGTGTAAAGGAGGCTGCGGTTCACATCTACTAATATATTTAACTATAAAGCAAAAAATGTGTTCTTCGCATATATACAGAAGTGCTCATCTGATCTACGTCACACTTAGCGGGTGTATTACTGGAGGTGCTTTGTTGAATTTGGTGCAATTTGGACACGCAACACATTCAACATGAACTTTGAAAAACACCGCATCAGCACTCTGTGCAGCTGTCGGCGGCTCGTTGAATGCAGGCTCTCAAACCTCCGAAAACGATGGCAGTAAATTTCCAAAATAGGTTTTATTTGGATAAACTGAACACATATTGAGCATCTTGACTGTTACTTACTAGCATGTCAGGTAAATGTTTTCCTCTGAAGTAGAAGTATAGGCCTACGACACAATACCGCACAACAAAAGTCCTGCATGCAAATGTTTACTTGAAGTGCAGAGTGGAAGAGAAGCCTTATTAGCACAAAGTATCTAAATATACGTCTGTTCAAGGGGGAGCTTTCAACAATGCTAGAGAGTTAAATTATTAATACAAATTTGTGGATAAAATATGAATCTGCTGTGTAAATGTATTAGTACAATGTTTTCCTCTGAAGTAGAAGTACACAGTAAGTAATAAACAGTTGAGTTGCATATTTTCTAAGTGCTTTGGGAGCCTTTTGTAAGTTATTTTGGGAAACAATGAGTTAAAATAGTAAAACAATTCTATATTTTTAATATCTAAACACAGTAATAAGTCTATAGCTGTTAGGGGCTAGTTTAGTTTATTAGGGGCTAGTTTAGGGCCTACCTTTTCCAACGGCTGGGTTTAAATGACTACTTCGCTAAGGGGACAATCATGAAAGAAACGCTGTCTGTTGGTTTGAAACAGGAAACAAACAGCAGACTCCTGTGTTGAAGTCAAACATTTTGTTTTGGCTCTATTATACCATCACCTGACTTCCTCCTTTCCTCCCATTACAACCACTACAGCTGCTTGAGGTTTCAGTGACCCGACTGATGCGGTCATTCTTCTTGGGAGGATGGTCTCCATTGTTTGTGTGCTAGAATATGCCTCAGCCCTCTATGTATATTTAAAAGATGTTTCAACACGAAATGTGCCATCTGCCGTGATTATTGTGCCGCCTGTGAGGTTGTAGGGATCATGAGAAACACCCTCTCAATCGTCATCGCTCTTTCTGAAAATTCATCATCCACAATGCTGTGAAAATGCCTTGGCATCGAGACGCTAAAACAACAAATGCTCGGTCAAGCTGTTCTAAGCAGGCTGCCTTTCAGACACTGTTTCACTTTGCCAGATGACGAGGGTCTACACTGCTCCTGTCTGAGCGGCATGATTTTACAATATGGTGGAGGACATCATTTCTGTGTCAGTCACCAAACGGCGAAGATTTTAACCGAGGACTGATGCCAGGAGTAGAAGGAATATTTGAGCTCTGCAACCTCTTGTACTAAAGCATTTCTCACATGCATGTACAGACACAACACAGGCACATTAACACACACTGGTGGACAGTATATCTACATACATGTCCACACACACACACACACACACACACACACACACACACAGTTCAGAGTGACAACATCTCGGTCAGTACAAGATCGAGCACTTTGGCTGGACTCCTCGCCAGCTCGAGATTAAACACCGCTCACACGCAGCTAATCCACTGCCCTGACAATGGGAAACACTAAGCATGTTTGGCCAGCATCCAACATGCCTTTTCACACACACACACACACACACACACACACATTTCCCAGACTCACACCCTCACCAAATGCAACAACAAAACCATCATATAATCTCAAAGGGTGTGGTCCAACAAAAACTTATATCATCTCCAACATGGAGCTAAAACTACAGATGTTGACAGCTGACACAATCCTGTGCTGTCCCTCAAATGGTACACCCCCCCGATCCCCAGACACCCACCCCCTCACAGCAAAGCCCAGGCAGATGTTTATTTCCCTCTGTTTCACCTCCTCTCTGTCTTTCTTTCTATTCCTACTTCCTCCTGTCTGTAGAGCATAATACCGGCCGGCCGGCCCTCCCTCCCTCCCTCCGTCCCTCCCTCTCTCTCTCCTCCATCTCTCCGCAGTGCTACAGCACTCTGATCTCCCTCCATACAGCGTGCCGTTAGCTGGCAGACGGAGGATGAAATGGAAAAGACACACTGAATAGCAGCGAATCAGACACCTCGTGTTCACACTGGAAACAAAGGCAATAAACAGACAAATGTGGCTAACTTACCTTCTCTTCTCTCTGTATCTCCTCCTCTCTCTCTGTGTTTGTGTCCCTCCTGACTGCAGCCACACTGTTTCTCTCGCTCTGATTCCTCCTCCTCCTCCTTCCTTCCTTCTTCCTCCTCCTCCTCTGTTCTGCTGCTCTCACAAACCTGCTGCCGCTGAGTGTCCGCCTCTTTCCCTCTCTTTCTCCCTCACTCAGCCCCTCCCCTAACCACCCTCCTCCATGTACATCGCTGATGCTCTCTCTGGCCACATCAGTGCATTTAGGATGCTATAGAAGAGCTGAGATTTTGTATCCTGCTGCCTATAAAATGCTGTAGCACCAGATTGTGCCTCTCATGTATTACAAACCTAGAGCAGAGATTCTCAATGGTTTTCAGCAATGGACTCCTAAAAAATACAACGGGGACCCCCACATGCATGTCCCTGGGACTAATTTGAGTATAATTTGTTACACTATGTTAAATAACAACACAGGTGAAATGTATTAGACATGTATTAAACATTCTTAGAGTCCTAACCTTTGAACTATTATAGATTTAACAATTTAATTATTATGAATTGAATTATGAAGCCTTGTACAACCTAGGATGTTGCCACTAGGTTGTGTACTTTTACATCATCCTCCTCACAGAGTCTAATAATAATGTAAAATTGTAATAATAAATAAATTGTCTTCTCTTGTTTCAAGAAAAATAAGGGATGCATTTAAGAATAAATTGCATAACAGAAAGCGTTGGAAAAATTTGCATCTTAAAATAAAGTACTTCATTTTAGAAAAATAAGAAACTTTTAAATTCAGTTCATTCAGGTGTGAAGTGATGTTATACTCATGTCCTCTTATACAAAGGAGAAATTTGTGTGCAATGTTATAACTGTGGTAATTGAAACCACTTGTTTCAGCCTCATCCGCCTCTCTGTTGACATCATGGGCAGTGAATTAATGTGTTCTTATTATTTTCTGTGCCTTAATCTCGGATGTGTGCCGGTACGTTTGTTAAAAAGATTTGTGCTTTGTCTCCTAGTGGCCCTTCACATTGCGGCTTTTAATAATCGCCACGGTCTCTGAACACATGAGACATACTGGTTGTGAACTGACGTAGGAAGAATGAACATGTAAGAGAGTCTGTCCATTCTTGGTTAAAGGCTCTGGTCTCGCTGTCCACACGTCTCGTTTATGAGAACGTCATCTGGAATAACTGAATTAAAGGGCTGGAAAAGCTGCGCCAGTTAAAGTAGAAGCGCTCCGTCAAAATTAAATAATTCTCAATTATCTATCTGTTTTAGGTCCAGGTCCGGATACAACGGTGTCTGGGTCCGGACCTGGACCGCGGAACACCTATTAGTGACCCCTATTCTAATGTTTATTAGGGCATGAGCACCAACGAAGTCGGAGCGGAGGACCTATTGTTCTTCTAATGTTGAGATATATATATATATATATATATAACAGATTACATCCTCCAAAATGATCATACAGTTGAATCAACAGACCAAAACAGAGCCACAAAGAGCAAGAATATTGCACTTAAATTCGTCAGGTGGCCTCAACATGAAACCTAACATTGGTCAGGGTCTGTGTGATGAGTAAACAGGCAACTAACACCTTCTCAAAATAAGCTTTAAAGGGTGATAATAGATCAGTGTTGTGGTTAAAGCTTGTTCTGCTGCCCACAAGTGGCCAGAAAAAAACTTTTAATATGAAAAGATAACGTATCCGAGAAAACTTGCAAATCAAATTGTTCAAAAAATTCTGGTTATCATCTTTGTTTGGATTTTGGAGCACCAGCTTTGAAAACAGTTTAAAAATCTTATTTTTTCATTCGGATGATTAAATGCTGGAATGGCATTTTTCAAAGATCTCCAGGGATTTACCTTGTAAGAAAACGGATTGCTAGCTTTTTAACTCAAATGTAACAGAGGCACCAATTGGGTTTAACAGATGATGTATATGGTCACCACTGTTGAGAGTGAAAGCCGTAGCCTCTCCCTTTGGCTTGATTCCACGTCAGCATGTTGTGGTAGCTAATTGGATCCGATGGGTTGTCTCTGATAGAGAGTTCCCTTCCCCCTCCTCCCTGAGCCTGGCAGGGTTGAAGCTACGGTTGTAGCAGCCCACCTCCATCTACTGCTTGTGCTTTGTCAGCCTGCATGTAGCTCATGCAGCCGACACACAGCATCTTAATGATGGGTTAACACACACGCACACACAGACACAGCTCGACCCCTTCATTCACATGGTAATGGTGGGTGTTTCCAGCCATTCTTTTTGCCCGGATGCCCCCCTTGGGACACAAAGTAGTGCACTGCATACATAAACATGCCCTGAACATGCAGGTGCATGACATTTCATTCCATTTGACGTGTTGTTCCTCACACTAATGCACATGCTAGATTCAAATCAAGGTCAAATAATGGCAAGAGTCCCAAACTGGTCAGGTGATGGCTTTGTGGGAAATTCCAGAATATTTTTTTGGTATTTATTTTTGGTAGAGGGTTACACATCATTTATTATTATACATAAATTATTAACCTTTGCTAACTGAACAAATTCCTATAAATAACATGAACATTGTGTGTTATGATGCTTATTATTATTACTTGTTCTAGATTTTTTTGAAGAACCAGTAGTTGATTTTCTTTTTGACGATCACAGACTGGTGAGCTCACATTCTGTATTTTAATCATCGGAAGTCAGATGTTGACTGGTCGTCCATAGTGGTGGACTTTGTGACAACATATACACAAGTATAGATTCTCTTAGTTATTATTTTACTTATCATGAATTTAATATCTTTGCATGCTTCTCAGATTCAGTTGAAGATGTAATGTTTACTTTTATTGAAATGCTGATTACTTATTATTATACTGTATACTGTCCATGTTAAATCAACTATTTTAGTCTTTTTAGTCCTGACCTGCTACAGCTGTGACAGTTGGCTCTCTGTATGTAAGCTGGACAGAACATCCCGACTAATTACAGCAGAAGTCGTTATGGGTCTTTGGCCAAATTGATTCGGAGGCATATGCTAACCTCTTCCTCTGGGAAGCAGGAAAGTCCGGCCTGATGGCCATGTCAAGGGGTGGAGTAGCAGGTCCAAGCTGTCTGCCGACCCCACAAATAGGTCATAAACCTGGCCTGGGTGTGTTCAGTGAGTTCCAGTTGGGACGGAGATAATGGGACACATGCTGGAGATTCTGGGAGCCATTATTCTACAGATGTGTTGGCTTCACAGAATGATGAAGCCAAGTATTCACTCAAAAGAACAGCAGAAGACAGATATGGCCCGTAGTGAACCAAGTCTGTCTGTTTTTCATGTCCGCCCCTCTGACATCTCTTCTCTCATTCGTCCTGTAAGCAGAACGACACAACAGAAATGACTGGAAGGAATTATTTTATGCTGAAAAAAAAATATCTGGACATACACTTTATTTTATAAAACAGAACAGAGCTGAACTCAGATAACAGAACATACTGTACTTAAGATACTTAGGAACTGCAATCATCTTCTTGTGTACAGAATAAACTCCATACTGTGATACAGCTGTAAGCCCCATTCAGAGAACATAAAGTGCTTTATTCTCTATGGAAAGAGAATTAAGGGAGGTATCGGATAGAGTGCAGTATGAGTTGCTCGCTGAATAAAATTGTACTTTCAGGTCAATCTATACTTTGATGAATAAAGCAAAGAAAACTCGTAGATCAGCGTCTGCCGAGTTTACTTGAGTTCCATAATTTAAATTTCACGTGTTTCTGCTATTTTGTTATCTGCACATTTGTGTGCCGCTCGACCTGCAAGGTGTGGAAGACGAAGAACGCATCACCTCTTTACATGATCATCATATTTATCGTCTCCTTTCATCAGATCATTGATGTTTTTCTGTAAGCGAGAGGCTTAATGTCCTCTCAGACTAATGTCTGCCAAGACTTTCTCACTATTCCTTCAGCTTCCAAGAGTCATCAATAGGATTGTCTGTCTGGCCTTCACAGCATTATCTGCTGGCAGATAACTCCTCCAAGGCCTCCGACTGCTCTCTCCTCTCCACCGTCTGAGATCATGTGGCGTAGATGGGAGGATAGCAAATCAGGTTGTAGCCAATCAGATTACAAAGCAAAGTAGAGTAGAGTATCAAAAACAACGTTGAGTCCATATTAGTCCAAAGAGCAGGGGCAGGGCCAGGGGCGGTGCCTCCGCTACCAGGAGCTAAAGGTGTTGGCCTGTTAGCATTAGAACCTCACTATGACGCGACTTCATATTTCACAACAAAAGGGGCACAAAATGACCACAGAGTGACGAAAAACAACTACAATGTGATACAAAACACCCACAGAGACACAAAACGACCACAAAGAGACGCTAAATTACTAAAAAGCCCCACAAACTACAAAGGATAAGCAACAACCAGTTAAGTACCGATTTTACACGTTCAAGTACAACAACAAAAATAACAATTTATTGACAAGGCTAAATTCATTGACACGGTTTGAAAATGAATGTGAGAATACAAAGGACTGGTAAACTGACTTTAAATGGCTTTGCACTTTAATACATCTCTGGGTATAATTGTATAGAGGAGGTAAAAGGTATATTCGGACAGTGGAGTTTTTTTGGGCAGCTGTTAGTTGAGATCTATAAGGTTGCTGGTAAATGTTTCATAATTTGCTGTACTGCACTGGCTGCTGCAGAGCAACATTAGCGAAAGTGAATTACAGCCTTCTGTGTGACTCAATAGAGACGGAGGAACGGAGGGAGAGAACGGCAGAGAGAACGACAGGCGTGTTTCCACTCATTCACAGCAGTAAAACAGTAGAGCAGGTGGCCTCAGCTTCCTTTGTGGGCCTTTTGGCTCAGGAGTTATTGAGATCGTTTTGTTGGCTATTGTCTCCATCTACTGCAGTTAAGAGCTCCCTAATGTCTGTCTCAGACTGCTTCATGTGCTGCAGTCTGTCCGTTGTTTGGTTCTGACGTCCCAGAACGAAGAACTGTAATATCCTCAGACCCGATTTTTGTCACTTTTATTAACTCGGAAATAAACTGATAATTAAATCCAATGTTATGAGCAGTTGTTGAACTTTGTTTTTTAGACAGATTAACTAATTATGAATGAAAGAAGTTGTAGCTCATCCTTTTTGAACATTGAAGGGCAGGTTCAGTTAGTGTGCTGCCAAAAGTATTATATTATAGTTACTTCTGTAACTAATAATTATTTTCATTATATGTACATCTGCTGAATATGCTTGATTAAATGTTTTTCTTTTAATTGTTTCGTCTGTAAAATATTAGAAAATTGGTGGGAAATGTCAAACACTTTTTTTCACAGAGCCCAAGACAAAGAAAAGCAGAAAATACACAAATTTATGAAGATGGTACAAGCAAATGTTTGAAATGTTTGCTTGAACAGTGACAAATGATTATCAAAATGATTGATTGAATAATTCATAAATTGACTAATCTCTGGTTTACTTGCAAAGATTTTAAAAGAATTTAGTCTTAAATTACAAACTCAATTGTAGGTTTTTTAGGTGTATGCTGGCCAAATAACTTCTGTGTATTTTAAGTCATCCATTTTCAAAATACAGCAGCATACAATATGTTTAAATTGTGATATACAGATTGAAGAATATGTCCCTAGCCGTCCCTTCACTTGTTAAGAAGAATTGGACTGTGGAACTATTCCAGATGTCTTCAGTGGACCGTTTCTTCATTAAGAGGGAGGCAGAATCAATGAGGAGCCACATCTCTATCTCACTGGAAGAGTGGGAAGATAGCTGAAACAGGCCTGATCTGCAGAGTACTGTATCCTCCCTCCGTGAGAACAGCCTCTCAGTGAGGGAGGAAGTTCCTCAAGTTGGCAGTCTAGCTCGCTTATCTCATTGGCTCGATGCTTATTGGATTGCGTGCCCATTCCCACCGCTCCAGCGGGTCAAATGACTGGGATGTGTAGCTCATGGCCGCTAAGTGGTCTATCGATCAGTCAGCTGAGCCTGTGGGCTTGATGGGATGTGCTGCAGCAGACGGAGCCGCGAGTTGGCAGGTTGGTAATGGGAACAAAATACGATGCATTCCTCCACAGCCGAGAACGGCCTTGGCGGACAGAGAGAGGAGTCCATTACAGAGAAAGTAGGAAATCAAGTGTACAGTATAATTGAAGTTGATGGGGAATACTGTTCTTCACACGTTCTTCTTCATACATTGGAATTTGGAAATACTGCTTTGTTTTATATTTTGACCACCAGGTTTATGTTACACACTGAGTTTGGAGGATATAATACGTGGCTATATCTCACTGAGGTCCACTAAAATTAAGAGGAAAGCAGAAGATAAAAAGGATTTCATAATGTATTTCTCTTGTTTTCTCAATTTTTTTTAAAAGCCAGAGATCTTAAAGAGCGCTCGTAGTTTATCCGGGTACCTGATACATGCAGCTGCTACATGAGTCGATGTTTGTGTGAACATAAGTGGGCTTCAGTCTAGTTGTCCAATACTTTTGACAAAAGCATCGATATCCAGCAATCTCAACTGCTACTTACAACAGAAGATGAACAAGCCTTGAGAAGAATCCCATAACTTATCCTATTATTATTACATTATGGGTTCAAAATATATTACTCTTGGTAATATAATGTAGTAAAATCCATTTCATGATCAGGTGAATTACATTTGGGCTAATTTATAGAAATGAATCTTTATTATTATATAACCAACACATGAAGCACTGCCTCTGGCAGTCATCCAGGATTCATAGAAGTTACATCCGTAACTTTCTTTTTAAATGAACACATTTAGAAATAGAAATAGATCAGACTGAGAATGGTCATAATTCTCAATGTTCCTCATCACAACACCTACACTTCCCCAGTTTAAGTAATGCCGGGGGGTTAAATCGATCACACAGACATTTTTAGCTTGAGCAGATTTTCTGTTGATTTTGAGTTATTTTACTCACACACAAGTGTTAAAATCCAGCCCTGCAGCTGGCATTAATATTAAGCTACAGATCAGGATGCTGCATACTGTAAACACACACACATGTTCACTCTAAACACGCAAATGAAATTAACACACCACATGTGCGTCTGATTTGTTGCCCCCTGTATGCCAGCCATAGTGTGTTTCAGTGACCCGGTGCCCAAGATTAAGGCCTGGCAAAGCCAGATTTAGCCTCCAGGCAAACCAAATCCCAGCATTTCAGAGCCCGTGAGGAGCAGGCTAGTGTAATGCCAACACTCTGCCAGCCAAGTCTTACACAAACAGCAACATAAAACTTCTGAGGCCTTCAAACACCCCGTCCCTCAGGCTGACAGAGAGCTGCACAGTAGGCAGGGAGACGGATTTTTTATGGGTAAAACCCCCCCCCCCCCCCCCCCCCCCCACCTCCAGGAATAATCTCATTAACTACAGTGAATCATGTGGTCATTCACCTAGTAGCTCCTTCTGCTGACATGATATGCATAAAGAACACTCAGGCCCACATATCATTATGTTTAATTGTGATGATGCAAAGCATGTATGGCTTTTGCAATAAAACAAGTTGAACTTTGCAAATGCAGATTTTCAGACATATTGAATTTGAAAACAGTTTTATTACGTTTTGGTGAATATGTAAACAAATGAAGAAATGAAGTGGAAAGACAAAAAAAATAAATTGACATGTGCCCTCAATCCTAAAGATGTGAAAATAGTAAATTATTTTAAACTTTGTATTGTAGAACGATGCGTCTGATTATTAATAAGCTAACAGAAGTTGTTTACACTCAGTGTTACTCACCAAATCCCGTATAGATAATCCTTGAGGTCTGACACAAAGGTTGGAATATTTCTTCCTTCGTAAAACATTTGCAAAACCGATTTATTAAGTATTAAAAATCGAGAATTGTTTGCATTCACGTTTGCTAGTTTGAAGTCTTCTTCAAACGTTACTGGCATATCCTGGCGTGTTACCGCCACCTGTTGGTCAGAGGAGGGACAACATTGGTAGGACAGAGGGTGGCGTGTGCGTCATCGTGTGTGTGCACGAGATAAACAAGGCGGGTGCTCTCTCATAGTAAAACAGCTCCATAGAGCTATTAGAGGTTGTTTGGTTGACGTAATGATTACTTCCTTATTGTCTTGGGTCTACTATTGTGTATGTGAATGATTATTGTTATTATTATTAATTAACAGCCTCCTTGTGTGTTGCTTGCTGGCATGTATCACTGTAAGGGTTTGATGGAGAGAAATAATGAAGATATGTCTCGATTCTGTGTGAAATGCTAAAGCGGATAGCTACGCTCATTAGCCGTCTTCTAGATATGATATTAGTTCATGTATAATTGTGTTTGCAGTGTGTACAATGGCTGGTATGATGATTTTGCCCAGACTTTTGTCGTTAATTCGGTACTTAATTTGTCTGGAGCATTCTTGATATTTCTTGATAAAAAGTCCATTCGGAACCATGGTAGCACTCTAAACGGTCTCGCTCGGCACCCAAATGGGGGTCGCTCGTCACCAGAAGGTTTTAAATCAACTAATTGTTTTGCTTTGAATGTTTTCTCTTCTTCTGATTTCATTAAAACCTAATATGTAGAAAAGTCTTGACGTTGCAATTATTCTCTTTGGGTGAATGTATATTTGCACATTTGATGGAGGTACAGAAATGACCATAAAATAGTATTATGACACCAAATAAGGAAATATGTCACCCTGAATAAGGCTGTTGGTGCCGCTAAGCATGGATTGTGCAGTGGCAACTTGTACCAACATTTTCTACGTTTTTAGCATTTCACAATGAAATGTTTTATTTTTACAGAAGAGTGGCTTAAACCGTCCTTTTTTGAAAGAAAAAATATGTCACGCTTTATATAGTAGATGGACTCTACAGGAAGAAGTATTTTTATTTTCTTGTACAATAAACATAATTCACAGACAAAAAAAACTAATGCAAAAAACGAAATTATCCTCATGGATAATTTACAAAAGTGTACTTCCGAAACATATCACAGTTTAAAATCATGTTAATGTGTTTGAGCTGTTAAGGCAACCCGGGGTCTCCATGTCCTCAAACACAACATGACGGTTAGCTAGAACAACTCTTCAGATATCAACAAGAGACTTGTGAATCAGTTTACCTTCCTTCTCTACATAGATGATTAGTGACACAAAGAGTCTGTGAAAGAGACAAGGGTTTCACAAGGGTTTGAATTATGGGGCGATGAAGTTGTTAAGGCACTTGTATAGGGCAGTTATACTGACTACATTCATGAGAAACAAGACTGTTGTTTTAAATTAATTTATTTCCATTGCACACACACACACATTCTGTTCCAAAAGATCTTCAATTATTTACAAAACCTTTACACACTTCTGAAATAGTGCACTGTCTGAGACACACGAGGATAAATATATATAGGAGTTTGTAAAAGAAATGTAAACAAGTGATAATTGGCACATCCAGGAGACAGGCTTTATCACCAGCTGTGCACGTTTCCCGTTTGTCAAACAGACGATTAAAACAGGCACATTTTGCAAGTGCAGCTTTAACAAATACAAAATACTCAGCTTTAGACGGCTATGTAAATCCCTTTAAAAATACACAGACCCAGGGATCCAGCCCTTTTAGTCATACAAGATTTATTTTTCTAAAAAAATAATTATAAACATAAAAAAAATATCTAGTAGCCCCTGAAAGCCCACATTCAATTTACCTTTGATTTAAGAGTAAAACTGGTAGTAAACTTTAAATACACTTAAGTGCAATTAGCAATACAAGAAGCTTCATTTAAAAGAGGACAGAATGATTTACTAAAAGCATAAAAAAAGTAAAATGTAGTTTGTAGAACAGTGTGATAATTATACTGAGCAACAGTGACATCTACTGGTTATGATCAGCATCATTTAGCTCTTTCCAAAGAATACACATGATGCGCCCAACGTCACTTGCTCATACAAATGAATCTCTTTGGTGGCTGTTTCAAAGTTGAGTAATGTCCTTTGTGATTTGTCATTAATCCAAGCAAGAACAATGTATAATAACCCTGCTCAGGAAATGTGCCTGAAGACCCAGAGTTTTAAATCAGTGGCTTCTTTTTGAACCCATTTTCCTCATTTCCACATGGATTCAGATCAGTCTTTCTTGCCGTCTCCTGGTAAGAAGTAGGGGTTCTCGTGGCCTTGAACCAGATAGGAGTAACGGGATGGGCTTTTACCTTTGAAGGTGTTCATTCCTTCCGGGTTGAGATCGTATGATCCCGACTGAAATGTCAGTGGAAACAGTCAACATATTAGTATTTGTCAGAGACTTTGTCAGATGTAGAGACTTCAACCATTTATATAAAAACACTCACAAAAGCCAAGCAAGTAACCGCAGTCACCAATTTCCAGTGAAAACGCCTACTCCCAAACTAGCATCAGCTGAGCTTCTTTGAACAGTCACTCTCTACATTTACATGTAGATGAAAGCACACGGCTTTCCACAGCAAAAGCTTTAAGATTCTTCATCAAGCTCCCCATCACCTGGAAATCCTGCCACCTGAATTCTCACTGTGGCCTTTCTAAGTCATCATCAAGGAGCATCAAGGCAAATCGTAAAACTAAAAGCAAAGCCATGCCTTACCTTTTTCCATCCTGTGTGTTTCGGCTGAAACCCCTAAAGCAACACACTGGGAGTCAGGCAAAGCAGGGAGCATGGGAGGGAGCTACGTGCTAGTACTATATATATATATATATATACTGTATATATATATACACATTGGATTAAATGTACTGGTGTGCATAGGATTGAAATGTAGTCATTGTAATGATGTTAAAATAACAGTTATATAGCGTATAGATGTTTAAAAGTTAAACCCAGCTGCATTCTTCAACTGCAAATGATCAAATCTATGCATACTGGCTGGGTTTAAGTTAATAATTAGGATGCAAGACGGAGGGGCAACTAAGAACAAACTAAAGGCTGATTTAGCGGATGATCGACACTATGCGAGGCTGTGAGTCTGGGGATTGGTGGTAAGTAATTCAGACGACGGAGACGACAGAGGACTGTGTGATAACTCACCAATCCGTTGGTTTGAGGCTTTTTGTCCACCAGTACACGAGCGCTGCCCCCTTCTGACATCTCTATGGGAGGAGCTGCATCCCATTTAGTGGTGGCGCGGGGGATGGGGGTGATGCCGGTGGGCCAGGGCTGGTTTAAGTCACCTGATGAGTATGGACTGCTGCTGTAGTCTGACTCGCTCTTTGTGCGTCCCCTCCTGATGTACAGACAGGGAATGTAAAATGTTCATGCTTTTCTTTCAAATCAAACAATGAACTGATCCTTCTAACAAGTATTTTCTATGTATCTAAAGCCTTATTCAACTTATTCCTTTGCGTCATAGAGCTCCAATGTTGTCCAAAAACTATTAAAAACAAGTAAATGAGGTACACCTTTGCACTGGGTTTTTTATTACCATATCCATATATTTGTTAAATATTTTCAGGGCAAATGTGGGTCAAAGTGTGAGCATAGCAGTTTTTTATATCCTCACCAGCAGTAGTATATGAGCAAAGCCAGGACAACGATGAGAAGAACTCCTCCCAGCACACAGGAGATGACCACCATTGCCAGCAGCGACGCTGTAAACACATATTTAGATTTTAATGGGTCAGTCTGTACCTGTTACTACTGCTGCTGCATTTCTCAACAGTGTTGTTACTCACAGTCATTGCAGTTGAAGCCAGTATATCCAAATGCACATCTGAAAGACAAAATAAAACGGTGAATCACAAAATTTGAATTCAAGAGCTGTCCTGCTGCATATTAATGGAGTTTAACATTGAATCCAAATGAAGGAGCCAACTTCACATCAACATGTACCACATACACAGACATATACAGCCACCTGCACATGCAAAATTTACCCTGTAAACAAAATGAAAAGTGTGTGTACTCACAGTTGGCACACGTTTCTCACTGCCCTCCGTCCACTTGGACACGCTACAATGAAAACACAATAATTTAAAGACACACACACACACACACACAATGTTTTACACAAAGAGATAAAAAACATAAGCTACAGTTTCAGACTAAGTCACAGTAGAGGGAGACTGACAGTACGCCTGGTTGCACATGCAATGAAAGTATGAGCACAATGGGAGCCTCTAAATATAGAGACTGCATGATGACCATTAAAAAAACAAGCTTATAATGGTACATTATGTATTTCCTGGGAAAGGAACTGCATGCAGCATTTGCTTTATTTGTGTCTTCCTATAGCTGATCTCCTTGGTCACAACCCTCCACAGAGAGAGAAAAAGCTGTAATTCTTCCACGTGTTTCCTGGGAAACAACCCCTGTTTAAAAGAAATAAATTAGAGAGATAAATGAAGTATGGGTCAAGGGTTGGCATCAAAGAAAAGGCTCCAGCTCTTGACCTTGTCTCCGAGTCTCGCTCCCTGTTGTTTCTCCCCCTCATTCTCACACACAAGTATTTCACTGAGGATAAGAAGGTTCTGTACCAGTTCTCTTAACTGTAGATCAGCTGGGAAAACTTCTCTTGGGCTTGTCTCAGACGCTGTGGGTCGTCAGTTCTTATAGTGTATATGAAGCTTTAATAATCTATCGTGCCAGGCTAGCAGAACATTGTAAAGATTTCACATTTCTTCAACATAAAAGACAATACTAGAGCATGTTCCAGTGTGCTTATCCAAACCTGATACTAGTCTTGATAAAAGAGATGAATAAAGAACATTAAATAGTAGTGTTTACCTCTGCAGCTGGTGTTTGAGTACAGGCTGGAGATGTAGCCCGCTTGACAGGAACAAAGAGCCCGGCCGTTTGAATTTCTGCACATTGTAGTGGAGACATCACAGGGTAATGGCTCCTGGTCACACAGGTTGGTACCTAAAACAGAAAACATGTAAAATAGGTGTATAAGAAAAAAACTTCTTCATGAAATAAGAACCTGCATATCAGGTTCTCATCCAAAATCAATCAGTGTACCTTTACTTACCTGTAAATGTAGCATTAGCCAACAATGCATTTGCTGGGTTGGCTATAGCTACAGTAATGGCCTGATCCACAGAGTCTTGCGTGGCGGTGGTTTTGTCAAATATGTTATTTACAGTGGCCTGCACACTTCCTGGTCTGGGGAATTGAAGAGAAGCACCAAAAAAGGTTAAAAAATAATTCTGTCACTTATGGCATAATATCTTTCTGCATTATGAGCAAGACGAAATACTCACTTAAGTTGCACAACATCAGATTGTTTATACCCTGGCTGATTTTTGAGGGCATCTCTGAGCTGTGAAACGGTATAAGCACGTGGTTTAGTACTGAGAGAGAGCATTTACTATAGAAATTAAAAATGCTTCGTGAGCCCACAACCTACCACTGCTGAGATCTGAGCCGCCGTCTTCTGGAATATTCTCGAGGACCTGTTGCTCATCTCATTTTCAAATGTCAAGGAGATGAGATGAAGTTGGCCGGAGAACATTTGGGCTGAATGAAGGAGAGACAGGAGAGAATTAGGTGAAAGCCTTCCCTCTACCACCCTGTTATGTTTTCTGTTATGATGATTTGTCATCTGACCAGACTTGAAATGTTGTTTATGTTCTTACCAGGTGCACAGCGGCCATCCACCAGGAAGCTACCAGAGAGACACTGGCAGGTGCCATTAAGACACTCACTTTCAGGTGGGCACGGGACAGTAGGACACACTGATAAGAGTTGGAAGAAAAATGATGTGTTAAACAACTGGCCATCTAATTTTGTTTTTGTCACGTGAATTGAATTTGTCAAACCTACAATAACTGTTATTTTTGCCACTTGAGAGCAGCAAAAACAATTTGAAAACAAAATGTTGACATGTCATCACATTTCAGTTGATATGGCAAATGTGTGAGCAAACAGCTGCTTATTTACACGTGCAGCAATATCATCACTCACTTGGACCTCCACCTGACTAATGGAATTGTGTGAATCTGATCCACACTCCTTTCGGCTTTGTTTTAGTCTCTACCAAATCCAGGAGGAAATATCCGCTAAATGATCCACTATGTTCACCAGCTAGTTGCTAACTGTTTCTATCTGCCGTTTAGTGCTGAGCGGGTAGTGTTCAGTGGGTTCATCAGAGCTTTCATGCTGAAAACAGCTGCCTGCTTTGGCCGGAAACAGGGCCATGAAAGCAGTGAGTGAACCAAAACAGTCAAGTCGAGAGCCAAACAATGCAAATCACTTTAAAGCTCTGGAAAGCCGAGGGAGGGGAGCTGCAGATTTAGATAATACTTCTCTGTAGGTTCATCATTATGAGCGAACGTTTCACATTGTCACCTTTTTTACATTATCATTTGATTTTTGTTATTGTACAAATATTGACTATAGCCACTTAATTGCAATACAACAAATCTTCTCTTTTTTCTCTTTAAACCATTTCAGCACAAAAGACATCAAAGGAATTATCTCCTGCAGAGTGGGTCCTTGTGTATGCAAGGTTTAAGGGAATCTGTTTAATTTTTCTGATTGAGTTGATTGATGAAATAATGCACCATGTAACATGAACCTTTGGAGAAAAGTACAAACCTGGAGGGATGGGTGGGGCTGCTGTGGTGGTGTCTGTTGGTCGCTGGGTGGTGCTAGTGATGGTGGTACCAGTACTGATGGTGGAGTTGTTGGTGGTGACGTCTGTTGGTCGCTGGGTGGTGCCAGTGATGGTGGTACCAGTACTGATGGTGGTGGTGGAGGTTGGAGTGGTGGTGGAGTTGTTGGTGGTGATGTCTGTTGGTCGCTGGGTGGTGCCAGTGATTATGGTACCAGTACTGATGGTGGTGGTGGAGGTTGGAGTGGTGGTAGATGAGGCTGTTGTATTGCCACTAGCTGGTTCAGTTGAATGAGTCAAAGTGGTGTGGCCTGTCACTGTAACATTAAAAAAAAGATCAGTCCATGGACATTTAAAAAGAGAACTTCTTATAGAGCTAGTTAGCGACTGTTAGCACGCTAAACTAAGATGGTGAACATGGTAAACATTATAGATTCTTAGCATCATGCTATGTGCCTCAGTGCAGCCTCACAGTGCATGGCTGTAGACTCATTAAGAACATACAAAGTTGTTTAAACAAAAAAGTTCAAAGACTGTGTACCTCAAAAATCTGTATTCGGAGACCTGAAAAACCTTTTCGCTTTTGAGGTATTGTGACTTGGACTTACACCAAAATATTTCAAACAGCTCTGCATCTAGCATCCTACTTGTCAAATGGCCTGATGCAGCTTCAACTCACGGCCCTCGCTGAATTCCTACTCACCTGCATGTTATGTACATTATTTTTTGTAAGAACAAACATCAACACTCATTATGCTGTTAGTCCTACCTCCTGAGGTTGTTGTTGAGGGACTAAGGGTGGTGGTATTTCCAGTAGGGGGTGCGGTGCTACTGCCTGGGGAGGTATTTGTAGGGAGGGAGCTGGAGGTGGAGATGGAGGTAGGTGAAGAGGGTGGGGGTCCTGTGAGTGTTGTGTTTGTGGTGACAGTGGAGGATGAGGGTGTAGTAGTGGACATAGGAGTCTCAGGAGAGGTGTTAGTAGAGTTTGTTAGAGTAGTTGTAGTTAGTACAGCTGTAGAGTTTTCTGGAGTTACTGTACTTGTACTTGTGTTGTTGCTGGTTTGCGTGGTCTGTGTACTTGTGGTTGTGTCGTTGCCGGTGTGTGTGGTCGGTGTAGATGTGGTTGTGTCGCTGCTGGTGTGTGTGCTCGGTGTACTTGTGGTGTCGCTGCTGGTCTGTGTGCTCGGTGTAGTTGTGGTTGTGTCGCTGCTGGTCTGCATGGTCTGTGTACTTGTGGTTGTGTCGTTGCCGGTGTGTGTGGTCGGTGTACTTGTGGTTGTGTCGCTGCTGGTGTGTGTGCTCGGTGTACTTGTGGTGTCGCTGCTGGTCTGTGTGCTCGGTGTAGTTGTGGTTGTGTCGCTGCTGGTCTGTGTGCTCGGTGTACTTGTCGTGTCGCTGCTGGTGTGTGTGCTCGGTGT